GACAAAACAGATGAACATAAGGGAAGGGAAACAAAACTAATATAAAAACAGGGAGGGGGACAAAATATAAGAGACTCTTAAATATGGAGAACAATCAGAGGGTTACTGGAGGGGTTGTGGGAGGGGGGATGGGCTAAATGGGTAAGGGGCATTAAGGAATCTAGTCCTGAAATCATTGTTGCACTGTATGCTAACTAATTTGGATGTAAATTAAAAAAAATAAAATTAAAACAGAAAGGCGAGGCGAGGCGAGGCGAGGCGAGGAGTGACAAGAAACCAAACAAACCAAACCTATTTACCAGAGGGGAGGTGGGTGAAATAGGTGATGGGGATTAAGGAGTGCACTTGTGATAAGCACTGGGTGATGGAACTGTGGAATCATGATATTGTACATGTGAAACTAATATAACACTGTATGTTAACTATACTGGAATTTAAAATAAAATTATATTTAGAAAAAAAAGAATCCTGACACATAGATTAAAAACATTAGTATCTAAATTAATGTCGAAGAGGAAAATAAAATTTTTCCCATAAATGTCACCTAGATGAGGTCTACATCAAAAGCCAGATCTCACCTTCCAACTTTGTTCACGTAAGGTCAGTAAAAGTCCTTTTCATTAATTTCCCAAATATCAAATTTGGCCAGAATGTTATCAGACAAAAAACAGTAAATGCAACCAAACTTTCCAATCACATCATCTACTACCCAATAATTTTGGTTTTTGGAACAGTGAATGGACTTTAAAAATAAAATAATATTCTGGAATCCTCAGGGTTTGGGCTAGGCAGGATTTATTAGTTTAAGGATTTACCTGGCAGCCAAAAAATAATCAGTTCACCAAAAGTTTAATCAACAACAGAAGTTAACACACTACCTCCTCCTGAATCCAAACAACCTTCTATCTTCAACATTTCCAGAAATGTTTTACTTGGAAAAAATCACTCATAACAAGGCAAAACAACTCTTTTCTTTGGACACCCACAAAATGTCACCATAGCTAATTAATTAATACTGGCCAATTAAAAACATACACCAAAACATCTGCCCAGGAATCCTTTTCTACAGTGAAAAAGCATGGGGGGCTTCTTCCTCTATCACACCTACACCTACACACACATGAATATCCACACATCCGTCATAGAAATGTTTACACGTAAGTAAGCTGAATTATTATTTAAATGACCACAAGGCAAATTTATAATACCCATGAAAACATTATCAGGTAGGTTCGCACCATTAACAAAAACTAAGACACATCTTACAGCATGCCAAATTAATGTAGTCATGACACCATAGAAAATTGTGGGACAAACTTTTCAGTGAGAGCCTTTAAAAAACCCAGCCATTTCTGAGATTCATATATTCTCTTAACCCATAATAAGAATTTTTTCCTCAACTCTGCACTATTAGAAAACACCAGTATTTACTTTTCTAAAAAAAAAAAAAAAA